TAATAAAAATTATTTAATTGAATAAATATTAATTAAAGTAAAATAGATTTTTTTTGTGAAATTATATAATTATACACAATAAATTATAAAAAAATTATAATTTTATATATTTTTGCATATTTAATTATAAAAAATTATATAATTAGTAATAAACAAAAAACTATATTCTACTTGTAAATAATAGTTATAATTGACTAACTATTTTTAACTAGCTATTATTATTAGAATATATAAGATTTTCTATATAAATTAAATTTATTTGAAATATAATAAGAAGTAAATATAAAATTTAATCCGTGAATTAAAGCTCCAATCGGTTCGGGTCGACCCGAAATATTTCGGTCAGCCTAAAAATCATTATTTATCGTTCAATATTAATTGAAATTAAACAAATATTTGTAGGTGTATACACAATTACATTCCAAACAACTCTACTTGAGACACAAAATACAAATATCTTAGTAAAAATAAAAGTTATTAACGAAAAAAATATTTTACGATTTTAGGGTCAAACCCGATCGAACAGAGCTTTAGTGAATATGCTCAGAAAGAGACTATTCTATCATATTCACGAATTAAATTTTGCAATATTTTTATTATTAATATTAATTTTTTAAAAAACTTTTTTATTATTGGATTACTAAAAAAACCAACATATAATTAAACTATATTTTTTGTATCACCATTTAATTTTTATTATTAATCTTCATTAAATACATAAAGCTCTGTTCGGGTCGGTCGGGTCCGAGGTCAACCAGATCCGAAAAATTCGGATCGGTTCGGGTTCGGTTCGAAAATCGTAAAATAGTTTTTCGTCAATAACTTTTATTTTGACTAAGACACTTGTATCTTGTGTCTTAAGTAGAGTTGTTCGGAATGTGATTGTGTATATATCTACAATTTTGTTCAATTTGAACAAGAAATTACGATTTTTAGTCTACTCCAAAATATTTCGGGTCTGGTTTGACACCAACCCGACCCGAAATGTGCAGTTTCGTTCGGGTCACGGATTTGATCCGACCCGATTGGAGCACTAATGATATATATATATACCCTAATGTATGATGCATGATTACATCATATGATGTATTATTGCATTCATTAATCCTAAATTTTCTAAATGCTCACTCTAAATGCAAGCTCATGATTAGTCACAAGAGTTGCATTTAGGAAGGTCTTTCTGTATTTGGTTCAGGTTCAGTCACTCTTGACATTGATGTATAGTGAAATACGGAACTATGGTGCATAAAATCTAAAGTCATCAAACGTTTGTATTTATAAACTGTAAAACTTCTTTACTAAGAAGTAAATTCAAAATTTAATCCGTGAATATGCTAGAAAGGACCTATTCTATCATATTTACAGATTAAATTGTGTATTTACTTATTAGTAAAGAAGTTTATACATTTTATAAAATATAAACGTTTGATGGCTTTAGATTTTATGCACCATAACTTTTATAAATAGTACCAGGATGTCTATTGAATTCTGTTCGTAATTTTAACTGCTTTATTCTTTTTAATTCTAGTTGAGTTTTTCTTCCGGATATTCACACTTCATTATATATCTTTTTTCTCAATTCCCTTGCGGTTGAGGTTCAGGATTCCAACATTGCGTCATAATATTGTAATATTCTGATGGAATATTTTCAGAAAAGGTCGTACACCATCACATATATCGAAAATTAACCTACTATCTTGATTTCTATTTTGCAACAGGGAATAACAAAAATCGTTTTGACATGTCTCGCCAATAACACAAAGCTCCCACCAGTTATTATTTAAGGGAAAGATTTGGTCTCGTATGATGGCTTCTCTGCATTCCATATCTCTTACATTAGTATTCCAAATGAATATATACCGGCTGCTTTTGTGTACGGATTTTCCTCTTAATACTTCTGGTGTCATATATTGATATGGGATGATTCATAGATTTCGTTGCTTGATCCAATTTCTGATGCATTTTTGGATTTTCCAAAGTCGGAGAGTTTAACAAATCACCGCCGATATAACTTATCGCTTATCATAGCATTTTTTTCTAATAATCGGTTGTTTTTAGGTGTGCCATTTTGATTTTGATTTGTGTCTATTGGCTTTGTTGTATTTTGTAATTAGGACCATAGTTAACTTTTTCGTCAGAATTCGTGTATCAAAAGAATTCACGGTTTCTACTGGACATCCAACTAACATTTCTTCAGCAGTACCTTGAGTAAAAGTTACTTTTTTTATCACTTAACATTGGATGATTTCTCGTCAATATCATGTTATCTTAAATAACTTTTTTGTCTTAATTCAAAAAATATTATCATTTGGATTATGCTATTCCAGCTTAATTTTCATTTTTAATGTTTCCAAGCTTTTTCCATTAAACTCAGATTCACAGACGTTGCAGCACTATCATGGAGTGTATAATGGCTTTTTTTTGGTGACTGATATAACGGGATACTTGGGCTTTTTGGATAATAAAAATAGTTGTCTCAATTTTTGAGAATATCTGGTCAATAAAAAAGAAACTATTTATTAAGGATTTTTTGTCATTGTTCTTGTTTATCACCGTTTTCAAATTTCCACTAATCGTTAAAAGAATAGATCAATTGTTTACTAATTATGCAAGCTAACGCTAAAGTTAATTCATGAACGAATTCTAAGAATGATAATGATAAGTTATATACCATTCAAAATACAAAAATAGCAAGGGTTTAGATATAGATATACATGCACATGTATTGTTTGCAAAACTTTAATAAGTTGTTGCTAAAAAAAGCAATACGAACTAAACAAACTAGACTTTAACCGGATTTAAATAGTCAGAATAATATTCTGCTCATCAACAATGACAATACCGAATGATGCTTCTTTCTAATTGATCATGCACAAGAACACATATTCTGATAAGCTGTAGATATTAGACTAAAAAATAGTTATATTTTCACCCACTACTAACTTTTACCTTCTTTTTGAATATTACTAAATGATAATGCAGTCATATAGAATTGCAAACCACACTAGCAAATTTCGGAACAAATGAGTTTAATATTTTAATTAGGAATGCAGTAAGTGTTCAAGTCAAGGAGGACATAGTTTCATCATGAAACTTTAAGAATTTATTTTATCAATAATCCATTAATCAAAGCTGAATGATTCGCCTTGTTGAAACAAATCAAATGGTATCAAAATCATTCAGATCTGACCACTGAAGTTTCGACGAGTCATAATGCCTAAACAAGTTTATTCACTGAATTTGAGTATTTACTGCACTCCTAATTTAATGAGGATTAGATAACATAAAAGTTTATCCCATTGGAATGCTATCTTTTCATCGTAACTATCAAGGTATTATCGATTCCCTTTCAAATGAGAAAATGAAAATTAAATTCATAAAACTATTTTTTTATATTAATAATTTAAAACGTCTATACTAAATATCGTAATGATACACTCTTGTTAATTTGGAAACTAAATACGTATGTAGAGATCTCATACTGTATAAAAGCTTAATTTGATTGAGTGTACTGTAACGGTAATACGTACAGTACGTACAAATTTATCTATCATATACATGTAGCGGTAGTATGAAATATACACAGTAAAACTTGATATAACCGGTAAACCGGAGCGGTCGGTCAATTGGAACTAAAATTCCTAAAATCAAGTAAATCAAAAAAGCCGGTTTATTAAGTGAAATTTATTATAGAATGGTTTAAATTCAATCCGGTTATCGAGATTATAATTAGTCTCCGCTTTATCTAAAGTCCGGCTTATCAAAATTCACTGTGTGCTCTATAATGAATAACACCACCATTATCCAACACAAGTTGCACTTGAAATTAAAAAATATTCTTGCAAGATTATATTGCTGTTTACAAATACACTTGATCGGATCCAGTTTGCATTTGTTGGCGTAGAAGCAAGCACAAAGTTTAAATCACTTTTATTCATAATTGTTACTACTCCCACTTTGCAAAAAAAAAATAGTAAATAGAAAATGTTACATTGAATTTGAAAAATATGACTGGAAATTGTTCAGCGTATGATAAGCAAAAACTTTTTTAATATCTTTATCCAAATTTTGTCATTGTATGTGCATAACATCTAAAGTCATCAAATGTTTGTATTTTATAAAATCTTTATGAAGTAAATACAAATTTAATCCATGAATATGATAGAATAGGCCTTTTCTGAGCATATTCATGGATTAAATTTTGTATTTACTTCTTTGTAAAGAAGCTTATATATTTTATAAAATACAAATGTTTGATGACTTTAGTAAAGATGGCATGTGGTGACAAATAAAGCATCACCTAGTTGCAACTAGTTGCTGCTTATAAAATTTGGGAGTTGCAATGGGTGACAAATAAGTATCACATACTTGCTGCTCCATCTCTAGACTTTAGATCTATGCGCCATATACGTTTTCACATATCGATATAATCAAACATCTCTAATAAAGGTGATATTTAAACTATAAACTGTTATCAAGTGACTATATTTATAGTTATAACCATAATTTGCATAAGAAAAATTTAAGCTTGCTTATTGATCAAAAATAATGTGCATAATTCTCACAATTCCATAGACTAACTTTTGAAAAACCAATGGTTAGCGTTAGTAATAAATCGGTATTGATGGTCGATCATAACTTACTTGTGCCATAATAACGATCATCTTTTTCATACATGTACATGTACGTATTGCTAATTTCGAAGTACGAATAAAAATTAACTAATTTAATCCATATTCTCCGTCTTCGAAAATGAGACACTGATATTTTTCGTGGGTAGGTCTGTGTCCATATGCATGTGATGACAAAATATTACATGTATCAAAAAAAAATTAATTTCTTCATTCTGAATTAAATGAGTTTTATATACTATGACATGGAGTAAAAGCGTACAAATAATTTTTCTGCGTACTATTTTCTTGACATTATATAATAAACGCTTCAATCCAACATTCTCTGCTGAACAATAATAAGAATTGATATAACAGCAAATTATCAAAATGCCCTCACGTCTACTACATGTACTAGCTTTTACATTACTTTCTTCGTTATTATCATTGACAGTTGTTGCAGATGAAAATATTTTCAAGACTAAATATAGTAATGAAACCATAATATCAGATGATGCAGATGAAGAAGAAGCCCAACAAGAGTTTAAACCAAAATTTAACTTTTTAATAACAATCGGTTTTTCTGGTCTAGCATTGAATCTCATTGGAGTTTTATGTATATTTTACCACACATATTTACAATGGAAGGCACAAACATCTTCCATGAAAATGTACTATAGACTGCCATTTTACATTGCGATCACGGGTAAACAAATGATTTGTTGTTAAATTGCAAAAATCTCCTTTAATATATATATTAAACTTTTTATTTTATTTCTTTCAGACTTGAGTATCATAATCACTCACTTTTTAAATATGGTGAATATCTATAAAGATTAACTTTTTAACATTAACATCATTTATTCAACTATTCTTGCGTGACTTTTTATAGATTCACCCTGTTATCTATCGAACTCCATGGCCAAACCCATTCTGCAATCTTCTTGGGTTAACTATTGAAGTAACACAATGTCTAAATCAGTTTTTATTTAGTATTGTTGCAGTTTCAATTTACCTAAAAGGTACAATCATTATCGATTTCATAAACCTTAACATTAAAAAAAAAGAATTCATCTTAATAATTTTCTATTTTACAAATCAACAAAAAAATCAGTCAGTAAAAATTCCAAAATTGATTTTGGAAAATATGATTGGAAACTATTTACGGGAATGATTGTCTTAACGTCCCTATTTTCAATACCACCTCTAAAATCCGATGGATATGGCGCTCAACAAGTGTGGTAAGTAGACATAAGTCAAAAAGTTTTATTCGAGCTTTAACTCTATAGCTTCATTATATTATGAACATTCCAAAACCTAGGTGCGGATTAAAACCTGGGCGTCAATTTGTCACTTTATACTTTTTTCTGCTAGCAACTGTAAATCTTTTAGTCACGACAGTTTGTTATGTCCAGATTTTGTCGAAATTAAAACAAAGCCGATGTGACTTAGTTTCGTCTAGGCATCAGACGAAAAATGTTGAGGATCGGGTCACGAAAAAGATTGCACTTCATGTGCTCGTTTTTCTTTTGCAATGGGTAAATGAGTTTTTCCTTATTGTATGTATATCACGAATTGTGATTACTTTCTTTAATAACTCAACATTATTTTTGTTATTAGCTGCCTGTAAATTTATATACAATAACATTTTTTTTTGGGACTTCCGATTTTTGGATAATGGTTGTTGCGGCGATTGGGATAAACATGGGTGGTATAGGGAATGCGCTTGCCTACGCATACAACATAGATCTATTCCAGCGTCATCCAGATGAGTACAAAAAAAATGATAACGATACACCAAGATCCGACAATTCAGAAACGGACTTAATTGCAACCGAAACACCAGATACACCAAAGACACCAGATACACCAAAGACACCAAATACACCAAATACACCAAATACACCAAATACACCAGCTCTTGAAAACAAAGTTCCGATGTGTTTACGTATTAGTGTAACTACATCGACATGTACTAAGATATTAGAGCAAGAAAACAAAAATGAGGATTTATTAGTTACTAAAATAGAACAGGAAAACAAAAATGGGGCGGACTGATAGTAGACAACTGATTTTTTGTTATTTGAGAAAAATTAAATAGATTCGGTTATTTTTTTAATCATTAAATGGAGAACTTGCATCGGTATCATTATTCGTTTGCCTACAAACGTAGAAATCACGTAACAACGCGTGACGACATAAACAAAGGTCACGAGTAAAAATTAAAAAATTAATTATATGTTGAATTCAATATTTGAATGAAATTGTATTAAAGATAATATATGTAATATAGAAGTCACCATTCTAATTTTATAACAATTTACACATGTACGTACGTACTTAGTAATGGTCAATTAAATAAAATAAATAACGATTACGACAACAATAATTATAATGATAATGATAATGATAACGATAACGATAACAATTCAGTGTAGTGTTTCGGACGAAACTATTTTTCAAATCCGAAACGTGAACATTCAGTTTCCCCGAAACTACGTATCCCGAAACCCTAATTTGGAAACACTTTGTATAAACTAGTTTCGCCTGAAACACTAAATAATGATAAGGGTTCTTTCTTAATGTACAAAAACATTAGGATCTTTGGATAACATAGTTGCTAATATAGTAGAAAATGACGTTTTTTTTCATTAAAATGCAATTTTTAGATTAGAGTATTGTCTCCTTCATAAAAAATTAAAGTTCGAGCATTAAGGAGAAAAATTGGTAAGATATTGTTTTTAACGTACATGTGCACATGTATATGTAAGTGTGTGTTTTTTAATTAAATTTTATAATAAATGAGTATACGTACAATAGGGAAAAATTTTGCTATTATGAAATTGCGGATAATTGTGAGGTAAAGCTCTCATACGCCGAAATTAATTTTTCGCGCAAATTATTATAGTTTTTCCTTTACTTTTACTTATATATTATTTATCCTTTTGAACTATAAATAAGCATAGACATGTTATAATAGCATTTATGCTAGTTTCTTCGCTATTTTCATTAACAGTTAATGCAGCTCAATAACCAATGTTGTTTGTACATGTATAAAATCTAAAGTCATCAAACGTTTGTATTTATAAACTGTATAAACTTCTTTACTAAGAAGTAAATTCAAAATTTAATCTGTGAATATGCTCAGAAAGGACCTATTTATCATATTCATGAATTAAATTTTGTATTTACTTTTAGTAAAGTTTATACATTTTATAAAATACAAATATTTGATGACTTTAGATTTATGCACCATACCTCAGAAAATTAGTTCGAACAGGATTGGAAAGTTAATTTCACGTGATATACAATCCGATTCGGATTGGAATCATGTGATCAAAATCGAATAACCAATAAAATACTGGTGCTGGCTCACCAAATAACAATAAGCATTAACATTTTTTGAATTAAAAATACTAATCATAAAGTTAATAAGTAATTTTATAGTGTTTCAGATTGATAATAAAATTTATTTGATTATTGTTGATATTATTAAAATTAATTTTTTAAGATCACTTTCAAAAACTTCTATTTTATCTGAAATATCAACAAAAAACATCAAATACTCACCAAAAAACTCACTAGATCTGATTATAATGAAATTAACATGAAGAAACTAAATATCAAAGAACTCTTATTAATCTTAGTTAATATCAGTAATTTTAAAAAAATGCCAAGAAAAATCAGTCAATTTTAAATGCTTATATTTTTTTCAATATTCAAATACAAAAAATATTTATTTTGATTAAGTAAATCAAATAAATTTGAATTTACAAAAAATCTAAAAAACATATTAGTGAAATATTATTAGCTTATAATTTTTTGATATTTTATAATTTTTTATATATTAATTTTGAATACCAATAATTTTATTAATATTATTTTGATTTTTTTTGATTTAAATGCAAAAAAATTTATTATAAAACTATAAATTATAAAGATATATTTTAAAAATATAAATATTTAATTATATTATACAAATTCAATATTATTTTACTGAAAAATAATTCAGTTAAACTTTGAATTCTAACTTTTAAATTATAACTAAATTTTTTTCAAAAGAAATATATCAAAAATTAATCAAAATTTGCAATAATACCAATAAAAAAATACTAAAAAATACAAAATTAAACCAATAACCAAATAAAATTTGTAATAATATTACAAATATAATATTTTATATTATAGTTATTTTATTAATTATTAATTTCTTTTATTATATTTAATATTTTTATTAATTAAATTTATTTAATTTAATTATTTATTATTTAATATTTAATTAATTATTATTTTAATTGAACAAATTTGAAGTTATATAATTTATATATATAAGTTATAATTTATAAATTATTTATTTATTATTTATATAATTTATTTAATTTTATAATTTATTTAATTTATTAATTTTTATAATTTATTTAATTTATTAATTTTTATAAAATATAATTATTTATTATTGTATTATTCTATTTTTGTACAATATTTTTTATTTAAATATTATTGTATATTTTTTTATTAAATATTATTATATATATTTATTTATTTATATCTTATTCATTATTTTTTGTTTTTTATTTAATATATATTTTTATTGTGCTTTTTTATTAAAATATATTATATTTTTTATTACTAATTATTAAGTTTTTATTCAAGTAATTTTGAACTTACTTAAAGTTTAAAAAAAGTTCTAATATATATTTAAATATGTCAAATTGCTTTTGAATATAATATTTTATTATAAATATTATATAATATAAAAAAAATATTATATTAATTATTCAGGTTCTTTTACTATATTTACTTCAATAATAAAAATAATAATTATACAAAAAAACTTGAATTTGAACTTATTAAAATAATAATTAATATAATAATTATACAAGTTCTTTATACTTAAAATTAAAAATATTTATTAAAAATAATTCTGATAATAAATAGTAATATTTTATATAAAATTATATACAACTTTTATTTTGTGTTTCTTAAGAATTTTCTAAAGATTATATAACTAAAAATAATTATATTATTATTAAAAATTATTTTGAAATATTACAAAAAATTATTTATAAATACTTTTATTATAATATAAATTTGAAATATAAATAAAACTAATTTAATATTATATAAGATATTATCACAACAAATTATTTAATAAGTTCACAAAATTATAGTTGAAAATTTAAATAAATATATATTAATATATCTAACTATTTTAACTATTAAAATTAAGAATTCCTTTAAAAATATTTTATCAAAATTATAAATTAGATATTATTATTTTATATTTTAATATATATTTTTTTAGATTTTTTAGATTTGATCTAATAAAGCTATTTTAATTATATATAAAGTTAATTATTTTTTATAATTAAAATATATAAAAAAATAATTAAATTTATAATTAAAATACTTTATAGATTAATCTAAAAAATCTGAAAAAATATATGTTAAAATATATAATATTATCTTTATTTAGATTTAAAAATAAAAAATATTCATTAGTAAAATTAAAATTTTTATATAAAAAAATTCGTATTTTTAATTTTTTATTATTATATTCTTTTTATTATTACTATAATTGCTTATTAAATAATTAAACAAATTTAAATATATTAATAAAATATAATAAAATTAAGTTTTTTCTATATAAATATTTTTAATTTTATTAATTAATATTTTTGATTTTTTTGATTTTTCTGTTTTAATTTTCTAATTATAAAGTAATTTAATTATTTATTATAATTAAAAAAAATTACTTTATAATTAAAAATACTTTTTTATATTAAATTTAAAAAATATTAAATAATAAAATTAAATATATTTATATATAAAGAAAAATCTGTATTTTATTATTTTATTCTAATTTATTAATAAATATTAATTTATTTGCAAATTTTTATATATTTATTTGGTTTAAATTTAATTTAATTATAAAATAAGTTAATTAATTTTTTACTTATTTTATAATTAGAAAATCTTTTCTTAAATTAAATTAAATTTAAAAAAATAATTAATAAAATATAAACTATTAATTACAATAGTTAACAAAATTATAGAATTATATGTATAATTTTATTAATAAAATATAATAAAATTATTATTTTATATAAATGTTTATCAATTTTATTGATAAATATTTTTTATTTTTATATTAAAACAAAAATTTATATTTTAATATATATATATTCTGAATTTTTCTCACAAAGTTATTTTAATTACAAATTATTACAAAATTTTTATAATTAAAATATAAAAATAAAATTAAAGTTCAAATTTAAAACTATAAATTTATATATTTTATTATATATTAATTATAAACTAAACTTGAATTTGTATAATAATTAAAGTTCAATTTAAATTTTAAATCAAATTTAAATTCAGGTGAATGTTCAATTTGATTTATTTTATAGAAATACTATATAATAACTCATATAAAAACACAATATTAAAAAAAATAGTGAAATATAAATATTTTATCATAGAAAAACTTGGATAACTAAAAGTTAAATATAATATTTTTAGTATTAATAATATCAAAATTTATTTGCAGTTAGCTTTTAATTAATAATACACTAATTTTTTTAATATTATACTTATTATAATTGAATTGAAAAATGATATTAAAAGATAAATTTCTAACTAAAATAAATAACAAATTACCAAAAATTTTTTGTATTATATACTTTTAATTATATTAATAATTTATATAATTACTTATTATTTTTATTACCTTAGTAATTATTTTAAATATAAACTCATATAATTTAGATCAATAATCAAGTTTATATTTTTTCATGCCACTTGTAACTTTTTTTACAACTCTTCTATAGTTGAAAGTAATCCAGAAAGTTGCTTCATGCACATATTCACCTTATTCCATAAATTTTTTATGGGATTCAGATCAGAAGACTGGAATAACCAGTTTAGCAAAGTGATTTTATTGTTGACAAATAATTATTTTACTTTGTCAGAAATTGTTATCATTTTTTCAAACTGACTCTAGAAGATCATTTGTTAAAATATCCATGTAGATATTTGTATTCATTTTCTTCAACTCACCAACACCATCATCTGTCATGCAATCCCAAACCATAATTTAACCACTGCTAAATTTGATAATTGGTATAATATACTGGATCACTAGACTTTTTTCAGCAATATTTTTAGCTGTCTGACCCAAAAATTTGGTACTTGTTTTTGTCAGACTTATCCACGCCAACCATTATTTTTTGTGTTGATTTAAGGCAAGGCTTTTTTCATCTTATGCAAGCAAATAATTCAGTTTGGCGAAGCATACGTCATATGCTTTCCACTAAAAGGCCAATGTTCAACTCATTTTTAAGCTCTCATTGGATCTCAACAGTGGTGCTACATTTTCCGGAGTAAATTAATCATTTCTTTCATAACGTGTTGAGAGTGTTAATGGATGACCGGTTTTTAGCTTGTCATCAAAACTCCTGGTCTTTTCCTTCTTTTTGCCTATCTGGCAGACAGAGATTGGGTCTACTTTTTCTGATGCTGCGATTTTCCACATCAATATCCTTCTTGCTGGAGCATGACATGTTTTTCTATTGGAATCCTAGTCATAATAATAAAAAATAACTTAATTTGTTTGTGGGAAGGTGAAAATTTTTTTGAAGTTAAAAGAAATTAGAAGGTTCATACTTATCTTTTTATAGCCCTCCGTTCACCTTCCAGTCCAGTTCGGTCGTAATAAGTGCAACGCTAAAAAAAGATCAAAAAATTAGTGTATCATCAATCGAAAAATAGATTTTGATTTTAGTTATTCGTTTTTTCTACGGCGAAGATATTTGTATCTCGCGATTTTTTTTTCAGTGTTGCGTTTTTTAGTGAGCCACTGTATAAATCCTGATTTGCAACCAAAATTAATGATAGAATTGTTGATCTTTATAATTCCAGGTAAAATTACACTTTAATATAAAATTTTTCAGCCTTCGGATAACGTAATACATGTCATACCGATACCGATACCGATACGTCATTTTTGACACTTCAAACAAGGGGTAGCTTACTTTCGGGGTCAAGTTTACATATCTGAAAAATGGGGGTAGCTTATTATCGGAGATATATGGTATACATGTACTCCGAACGGTTCGGTTCGGTTTCAGAATAAGAAAATTTGCACAAAAAATTTCGATATATCGATATGTCATATCTGTAAAAAGGACGCTACGTGTGTACGTAAACTGTCTTATGTGTCTGCATCAGACAATTGCGTATATTCCATATTTTTTACAGATACGTACTGTATATCGAAATTTATAGGCGCATTTTTCTTCAGTTTGGCTTTGATTCCAAACCAAGGCAAGAACTGAACCAGGCCAAATCGTTCAGATACGGTTATTGAACAATCCATTTGGAATTCATGTACTTAATACACGGGATTCGCACTCGCAGGTACCTACCCAGAGTCAATATGACGTTAGAGGGTAGCTACCTTGACCCGAGAAATGTTTGCACCTCTACTCGCTATACAAGTGAGTCTCGTTATAATGATACTCTCGATTACATTAGTAAAAATTTTATACATTATATTGAGTAGGGTTTTTATGAATGTAATGTCGTTATATTGCGAGTTTACTATGATGTTATATATATTGTACAGGATTCTATCGCTATTTTATATCAATATTACTAATCAAAGATAAAACCTAATACAGTGTAATAAGAAAGCTAGTCGAAAAAATATACAAAAATAAAAAATTCTTTACAAGAAAATTACATTATACGTATGTACTATTAATTTAATGTCCTTTTGAGTCGATAAATTTGAATATTTGTACTTTTATCTGAAGTATTTCAATTATCACTGATTACTTAAACACCTAGCCGAAAGTTGGCAAAGATATCTTCTAATCCAGCATCGACTGATTGAAGTTCTATATACAAAATTGAAAAAAACATTTTATAAATCTTACATTTCACGTAAACTTTTATATTACATAAATTACCAAGTAAACTTACCATTACCGCAATCTGAATTCACGCTCGTTCCAAGTACAATCGAAGGTATTGCTATGTATATAATAAAAAACATATTAGCAATGAACATTTTGTATATGTACGAAGTTGAGTAAGCTTACCTGTTGCTGTTGTTGTAGACAAACAAGTTCCTTCTTTACTAATTTTATTTCCGAGTTTTCGATTAGTATTACGTAATTCAGGGAAATTTAAAAGTCGACTAGTATAAAATGCTTCAGAATGAAGTCGTTGATTCCAAACAGGCAATGCATTCTTATGTGTAGGACAATAAGTGTATGCAGTCATTTCAGTTATAATGTCCTTTTGCATTTTACTTATTTCATTCGCACGTTTTGTTTTATCTTTTCGTACAATTCGTCTAATTGTACCAAGAATATTTCGCTTTTTCTTGATTTTTGCTAAACTAAATTCACTTATTATAGATGATGTGTCACTGGCAAATGAGTCAGCTTCGTATATATCTCCTGAATTGTCAGTAAAGACACTGTTATTACGACTTCTTACAGGAGAATCATACAAACTCTCTGAAGATCCCACACCAAAGCTAATACTTGACGACGAAGGCGATGACGACGTGAGATAAGACCAACCTTCAATAATAACAATTATCTCGTCAGCATCTGGGCGTTTAAGCGGATCCGGATCCCAGCATTCTTTCATCAGTTCAATATATTGTGCTGGAGCTCCAGTAGGGATATCAGGACGCAGTCCATCACAAATTTCGATCGCTAAACTCGCGTCGTGTGGTCGATCACCAAAAGGAGATTTACCAGACGCAAGTTCCCACATAATCATTGCAAATCCATAAATATCCACAGCTTTTGTGTGGGGTTTTCCTTGTAACGCTTCGGGCGCCATGAACGGAAGAACACCATAAATGTTCTCCGAATTGTAAGGAAGATCCGCAGGATGGCATAATCCTAAATCACCAATTGCTAGATACTTTTTATTTTGACCTTTTTGAAGATTCTGGTGGTCTTTGTAAACTAAAATATTGCCGCTATGCAAATCTCGATGTATTAAATCGGCACGATGAATTGTTTTTAGACCTTTTGCAATTTGTCGTAGCATTTTTCTACATATACCCCATGCTATAGGTTTTGTAGTCTTTTGTAAATATTGTCGAAGATTACCATCTTCCGCGTATTCAAGTACCATCATGTATTCGTTTTTGAAATTCTTTGTCATGCCGTAACAGTGAGGAATATGGCCACAACTATTTGTAGATTCCCAATATAATTTTAACTTTAAATCGAGCAAACAAATATTACATTTGGAATCAGGAATTATAGTATTTATGATATAAAAATTACGCATTAAAAAAACATAATTTTTACCTCTCTCAAAAATTCCTCTGTAGCATTAACAGAATTTTTTATACTTTTCAATGCGACTCTGGATGATCCCCGTTTCCATAGTCTTTCTGGTGCATTATACGACCAATTAGCCGAATAGATACACCCAAAACCGCCTTCTGCCACAAATTGCACATCCTCTAAAAGATCGTACTGTATCCATTGCAGATAACGAGACTCCGAAGTAGCCTTCAATTGAGTCTCCCGTATAAATTCATCGATAATTGGTTTTCCACTTGTCCACAGCGGGAAATTTTTCTTAAAACGTGCAACTTGACACGTTTGACACCAATTCAAATGGCCAAGCTGCTGATGACACCTTCCACATGTTCTTGAATGCTATTCATTATTGAAGGGGGATGGAGATTTTAGTTCGCTTAAATGATGTTTTTACTTAATTGACTGTTAATTGTTACCTGTGAGATAAAAGGTTCGGTGGCTACTTTTCGCAAATTTACTTGAGATTGTGCTCTCCAAATCACTTGAGATTCCATTTTGATTTTAATAAAAGAAGGTTTCGTTTTAAGGTTATATATATATATATTACTGATTACTGACAAACTAACATTATATTTTCTAATTGTATAGTTTCAGATTAATTAAGCAAATTGCCGAAAAAATTCTAATTAATTCATGTACGTATACAGTATATATATATACGTTATTGATGCACGTAGATGCTAATTGGATAATAATGATAATAAAGATAAATTATATTTGGAAAACTGAAAATCGAAAAATAACTCTTTTTTATTTATATATGTTATTTATTGTATTTATTTATCTATTCAATTAAATTGACTTTCCTCATATTACAATACACCGATGCCACCTGCTGTGGGTATGTACACACACGTACATGAATATACATATACGTAACGATAATGAATAACGATATCGAGGAGTGTTCGTTTTAACTTTATTTTTAATTTGTAGATTTTGCTTGCATCGTCGTCGTTGTTATTGTTAGATAGATAATACAAAAATACAAGAACTTTCTTTGTTTTTCTTTGTGCCAATGTGCGACAATGTGGTTCATCGTAGATTTCCATTCATTAGTATTACAGTTTACAAAATCCTTTTTAAAGGTAATGAATCGAGTACTTCATGTACATCATGTCATTTCATACAGCACTCGTTATCCATTCATGGCTCATATTACATCTACGTATATAGCGATAGTACGAAAACGAAAAAAGAAACCGAGTAGAAATCATTTACATTACTAGAGAGAAGGTGATGACGCTACGACAAGGAGTTTGAATAACAATTGGAAGCTCACATTTTTTTTTACCATATTTTGGTAATTTTCTGTCCTCATGGGAAAAGGATTCTATGTTATGTAGCCAGCATTCTTATTACATGTATCTCGTCTCTAAATATCGATATGTTACGTTCGTACTTACGTATTTATCTTGACAATAAAACTTTTCATTGTCAATTGTATCGGTATCGGTATTACAATGTTGCTATTTGATTTCTGAAATGGAAATTTGTCACCACCCAATTTGCAGATCGATTGGATGAACAAATATTATAAACGTTAATTAAAAATATGTATAAACATACAATTTGTACATGTATTACAATTCATAAAAAAATACTATGTATGTAATAAACTAAAATACACGAAATACTTCATAATCTTCAACAGAAAAACAAATCTTTGTCGGTATTTTCTTTTTCCCCGTGAAAAGACCACCTTTAACATACTTCGGCACATAATAACACGACCTTTCCCACCGAAAATCTCTCCCCAACATTCGTAATTCACCTTCGTCGGCATTTCCACCAAACGACGGACCATATTCAGCACCAGCACACGCACACATTTCATGTTTTTTCACACTTGCCAACGACTTTTCAATTGAGCCCTTGCCGGAATCGCCGAGCGAAAACACAAAAGTAAAAGGACTTGGTTCGTAAATTTCTTTCGCGGGTGATGACCAGGACAAGTAATTGAATCCGCCGATAATTTGTCCAGTTTCCGCAATTTTCATGAAAGTTAGCGTGGATCCTTTGTCATCGCAAAGTTGATGAAATAGTGTCGGTGTGAATCCGTCACGACTTGCGCGTAGTAACAACGAATAGCGGTGCCCAATATTTGGACGTTCTAATTCTGTTTCGGTTGTTTTTTGTCGTAATTGGATAATCCATTTCTTGACAATGGCACTTTGCATGTCTGATATTAAAGTGGATAATTTACTTAGAGAGTCTGTATAAATTTCAGGCGCTCTCATTAATGAAAATGGTGAAGTTGGCTCCGTGGGTGAAGCATTAATTGTTCGATTAGCTGTTTCTTTACGTTTTTGTTTTGGACGAGTATTAAGTTTGAGACGGTCAACGTTAACCTCTATCATAGTATCGTCATCATTTCCGGAACCTACGGACGAAGCAACATCCGATCCGTTTGGACTAATTGTAATTATTTCATTTGGATATTTGGGCTTTCCTCGAGTAGGAAGTCGTGGAGATACAGGAGCATAGTTCTTTTGTAAGTGAAAACTGACAATATCCCTGAACAATTGTTTCGGCAAGAGACTTTGAAATGGAAAAACTTTAAGGTCAAACTCTTCTGAAGAGATATCAAAGAACCGAATCAACGGTATACACGATTGCAATATTATGCGTAATTGCTCTATTCTCGTTGAAGTCCAATTCGCATCGTCTTCGGTTGTACTATTAACTGAAGTTTTCGCAACCGCCCATTGAATCACTCGATTCCAAAGATGTACTTCTTTTATCTCAAGATCTTGACGAGAAAGAAGCAACAAGATCGTTCTTTCATCGGCACTCAAGAATGCTCGTGAATTCAAAAATTCTTCGGGTGTGTCACGAACTATTCTATCAATAAAATCACGAAGTTTTTGAAATTCTGGACGTGCCTCCATAATTTTGAATGCTATTGCTAAGTTTTCCGTTAACCAGTTGATTTCATGGTCAATTATGTAGTCTTGTATGTAGACACATAATTCTTCGAGTTCGAAAAAATTGGATGTTTTCAAACATTCAATTAATAATGGGACATCATATGTGTCAATATCAACTCTTCCTGTGTAAATATACCTGTATATAAATAACAATCATTAGTTTTTCCTGTAATAATTTCATTTAATGAATTAAATAAAATCAGTGATACCTACTTTAATATTATTTTCTCAAATATTTCTGGATCAATGTTTTCCAATACAATTCCATGATAGTTTTCAATGTTCTCTTGCTCAACGTCAACCAAAGTATTGTTTAAATTATTTCCTTGCTTTTCATTATCAATCATATTTACACTGGCACTATTTTCATTATTATTATCTTCATTATCTTTTGATTCTTCTTCACTTATGAAAGTAGAAGGTTCGTTATCAACCTGCTTATTATTCTCAACAGCATTAATAAAACTCGACTTAAGCGTTGACTCGGAAAAATATTTTCGAAAATATGCTGATCGAATTCGAAGTATCAGAGAATGTGCTTTAAATATTTTTGTTATGTCGCTGCCAACTTTTATTTCGATGTCTGATCCAACACCGCCGCAATTATCAGCATCCAAAAGTTGAAACAAGTTGTCGGTTAATAAGTCGTAAAATGTTGCTGGCATGATTAGTGTTTTAAAGAAGAAAAGAGAATGGTGTGATGATGTCGATGTATGCTAAAACTAAGTAGTACTAAATTTCACCCCTGATCCCTGAACGTTAAGGAGACTATCGCTATTACTATTATTTGTACTCGGATAATCTGATTCAGGAACAGTAATATTTTTAGACCCAATTTATTCGTTAATTTGATCATAAACTTTCGAATATTTATTTTTATGACTACGTATTACAGTATATGTTCTTTACTTAATTTTACAATTTTTTTTACATTTTTACAAATTTTTCAATTTAATATTGAAAATAAATTAAAATAAACAGGACTAATCAAATATGTGTGGCTAATTTACCATCCTCTACCCCATCCTCCGCGTCTTCCCCACCAAAATGGTGGCGGTGGATGATGATGATTTCTCCAACCAGGCCCATGACGATTTGGTAAACCACAATGCCATCCGCCGCGACCATGAACGTGGTGTAAGATCTTTCCAACAACAATAACAATAAGAACGGGAAAAACAATAGAAAAGACTAATTTGATGACGGAAATGATGAGAATCAAAGAGATGATAGCGAAAATAGCTTTTTTCAGCAAGAAAGCGAAAACACAGAATAGCGGTGGATGTCCGGGATGAACATTTGGTGGCCTGGGAAATCCTGGTAGGGGATCTCCTGGTACTCTTGGTGGACCTGGTGGACGTCTGTGTGGTGGGTCAGTTGGAGGTTGAGGAGGCCGAGGGAAGTTAGGAGTGTTACCGTCAGTTGGAGATTGAGGTGGCCAAGGAAAGTTAGGGGGATTACCGCCAGTTGGAGGTTGAGGAGGCCGAGGGAAGTTAGAAGGAAAGGTATCATCTTCGTTTGAATGGTGATGTGATTGGGTATTGTTGTTAGATGAGCCACAATGCGTGCAAGGTGTGATTCCTTGGCCAAATCTTGAAGAAAAGAATCTTGTAATCCATTCATCGAAATTTTCTTCAGCTGAATCCAAGATTTGGTCCGTGATATTGCTAGCAGTGCTAATTGTCCTAAAAACACGAGCAATAGGCGGAATTTCGTCTTGGTCGAGTTGTTGTCGTCGTTCTTGTTCATTAATTAAATTTGAATTTTCGTTTGCTTCAGCATGATCCTCGTCTCTATTTTCTTCTTCAGTTTTTTGTTGCACTTCTGGTGGTGGTGGTTGTTCTTCATTCTCACTAAGCTCAATAAGGTTTCCCGTCTCAATAGTAGAACTTACAGTCGAACTTCTTTGTTGTTGTTCACTTCCTTCGAAAATCCAAGCAGCAGCAGCATTTCCATTCTGTTCATCACCAGCAAGAGACATACTGAAAACAATAGTGCAATTTCCATTACTAATATTATTACCACTGTCTAAAACTTCAGAAAGTTCCTCAGTAGACGACAATGTAATAATATCACCATCTTCATCTTTATACGATAAAGAGAGTGGAAGTGACGAAGAGACAGAGAACCGTTTGCGAAGTTGTTCTTCGAAATCATGCCATGAGATATTTTTTGGAACGATGAAACGACGAACAATAGAGTTGAAGGATATTTTCACATCTTTCGAGCTGATGGTGGTGTTGTTAGCGTTATCGTCGAATGTCGTCGTCGTTGTCGCCATTTTTTTTTGAAATGGCAACAAGAAGTTTCAATTAATTAGATGTGGTGAATTGTCAATTAAACGACTGCCGTTAATTATTAGGGGTTTTTAAATAACAAGTTTCCTGCCAAGAAATACGTAGATGTAAATAGTGAAATATGATTACGTACATCAAATTGATTGATTCGTCATCAGTTTTATACGCAGCGATAGGAAAATCAGATTGATGCATTTATTAGATCAAATCATTTGTTTCTACGTATAAATTTATACATGTATTAGTTATTGTGATGCTTCTTTTTGCTTTGATTATTTAATGTCAACGCTTTAATATTTCAAGTCTAATTCTATTAGGACTCTTCGCCGTTTAATTTCTTTAGAAAATTAATTTGAGACATTTCAAATCACTGACAATTATCGTTATCAATTCTCGGTTACGGAGTAAGGATCTATAAGCAGCTGCAAAGTGCCGAGAACGGACATCTAATGAATGTTTGATTATCGTTAGCAATTTTTTTTAACGTTAATATTGAACTGGACCGGTTATTTATTAAGTTTGAGCAATATTACAATGAGTTAACTAATCAGATTCTACAGAAAATGTATTTGAGCAATATTACAATGAGTTAACTAATCAGATTCTACAGAAAATGTATTTGAGCTGCTGATAAATAAAAAAATAAGTTTATTGAAAAGATTCAGATAATTGTGAAAGAAATTGGACTATCGTTTAATTAAGTAGTAGGTTGATCAGGAGCCGCCAGTTTTTCCGCAATCAATTCCTCAGTAAAAGTCCACACTTTCTTTGCCAACTCTTCGTCTTTCGCCAATCTATTCGGTTCCGAGACTTTCGCATATGGTGTAAAATACTTTCCGCGAATCTTTTTCTCTTCAATCTCAGGGCTTGTTGCTGCGTATAACTGATTCAATGCCCCATCTTCGGGTTTTTTCGCAAATAGAGCATTTTGTATGGTGATAAATGGTGTCACCAAGTAACTTCCCCACGCCTCGGTAACACCCGCACTGAGATCTGTTTTGACGACACCCGGGTGAAGAGTGTTGCAGTAGACATCCTTGTCTTTGAGTCGTCGGTCTAGTTCCAAGGTGAAGAGAATGTTTGCGAGTTTCGATTGACCGTAACGTAGCCATATACCGTGTTTTTCTGTATTGATGTTTTCGAAGTCGATGCCACCACTTGGAGTAAAGTTGTGTCCGAAACTATTATATAAATATTACAAGCTTATAAGAGATTGATTTTTGTTCGCGAATCGGTTTCAGTATAATTTATACCTGCTGACAGTGACGATTCTTGCAGGTGCAGATTCTTCAATTCTCGGTAAAAGCGTTGTCGTGAAGAGCTATTTGAAATTTAGAGAAATTATTAGAAAAGACAATTCGTAGTTAAAAATAATTTCTCGATTAAATAATCTTACAAAATGGCCAACATGATTTGTCGCAAATTGACTTTCAATACCATCAGCAGACAAGGCGTAAGGTCTAAATTTGATAAGCAAACGAGATTAGAATTGCTAATGATCAACTCAAATACATGCCTCACACACGATATAAACTTACGTCGCCATAATACCAGCATTATTTACTCTAATAATGATATCAAGGTTAATTAATTTCTTTTAAAATTATATTCTAGAAAACATCACTCGTCAAGAAAACTCACAAAATGTGTAACGGCAACCCTTTCGCCAAAAAAGTCTCTGCAGCCTTTTTAACCTGTTTCAAATTCTGTAAATCCAATTGCAAAAACTCTACATTCTGATTGCCCGTCTGTTCTTTAATCGAGGACACGGCGGCTTCACCTTTATCTTTGCTGCGGCTGCACACAAAAACATGTGCTCCTTTTCGGGCAATTTCACGGGCAGTTATGAATCCGATTCCGGTGTTTGCACCAGTTACTAGTGCGACCTTTTTTTCATGTCGTTATGTTAATTAATTGTATACGCAGTAGTTAAGAATATCAAATGATTTATTACCTTGTGGGATAGATCTGGAATGGTTTCGAAAGTAAAAGGTTTCTTGAAAAAAACCATTCTTTGTATAATTTACAATATATTTCTTTATGAGACTTGGTATCTTTTTTTTAAGTGGTTGCGAGACAACGTATTTATCAACAAAAAAGGTGTGTATTGGAACATGTACGTATCAGTATCTATTTACGTATGTTACATAAACAAACGCATTTACTCGACCGAAATAACCTTATCATGTGAATAAATGTGTAACAGAGAATCTCGATCTTACAACAATAACGATAATACATGTACATGTCGACATTATTGTTGGTGAGTATGAAGATTTTTAGATTAGAATTACACGTGCAAGTTGATATAACGGACTCTAGAAATTAGCAGTAAACAATGCAATTTCTTAAAAATTTTTGTTACTAAATTAATGACCTTGTGTAAAGCTCTGTTCGGGTCGGGTTTGAGGTCAACCCGAACCGAGAATTTCGGGTCGGTTCGGGTCGGGTTTGACCCGAAAATCGTGAAATATTTTTTCGTTAATAACTTTTATTTTCACTAAGACATTTGTATTTTGTGTATTAAGTAGAGTTGTTTGGAATGTAATTGTGTATATATCCACAAATTTTCGTTTAATTTCAATTAATATTGAACGAGAAATAATGATTTTTAGGCTGACCCGAAATAGTTCGGGTCGGGTTTCGGGTTGACCCGAACCGATTGGAGCTTTAGTCCAAAATCAGCAATTTAACGAACAATATTATTAACGTTAATATATTTCCAGGGTGAAAGTCACGATGCACAAGTTTCTCTTTGTGACTTTTATTCAACCCCTCGAGTAATCTCATATAAAATGTCTTAATTTATGTTTCCTCCGTATTTGGAATTCATATACATGTACAGTGGGCCCTGGATACAGTAACACTTTTAAAATAACGACTCGTAAGCTTTTATAGTATTTATTTCGATAGAGTAACATCTCGATATAATAACACCAAATCTCTTCCCCCCGATCACGTTATTGTATCCGGTGCCCACTGTACCGTACATGTATTTGCATAGATCTCCATCACTATCAAGTATTCATTTGTAGCTGGGCATTTAGTTATTCCATAATAACTTAATTAATATCAGTGCACTTTAGAACTATCTGAATCTAATTTTAAAAAAGTTAATTATATTGAAAAACAAAAAGCGATATGTTTACACTTTAAAAAGTGTTCATTTGCCTCGTTTATAAATTCGGAAGTAATTTGCTTTGAATTGTGTAATGATTTCAACACAATTTCGAGTTCTCTACATCGTATAAATTTATTTTCTCCATGAACCCATACGTGTGGGGTCCGTCCAACCAGATTGCTTTATAAATTGATCCGAAACTTCTTTTTGCAAGATTGATAAATCTTTCAAAAGGGATCCATTCGAATATCTTATATTTTGTAATTTTATCGCATTCGATATCTTTATTTCCACTTAACCGTTCAGCTTTATAAATTCGTTCGTGATAACAAATACATTCATAACAGTAGTAATTTTTTTGACAATCGGTACATTTACTACAATTATGAATATTGTGATCTAAACACTCATTGCAGTACAGTCGACTTACGATATAACGACGTGCAGATTCTATTGAATTTATATTGTTTACAATGGGATCTGCACGTCGTTATATCGTAAGTCGACTGTACTACAGTCAAATCCCTCTATAGTCACACTCGTTTATAGTCACACCCCTCTATAGTCACACCCCTCTATAGTCACATTCTCTCTATAGTCACCAAATTTTGCTTTCCCGAGGGTGGTGACTATAGAGGGGTTTGACTGTACTTTTTTTGACAACCGTAGCATTTACTACAAACATGAGTATTGTAAACTGAACATCTTCTGCCGTACCTTTACTACAATCATGAATATTCGAAATGCCCTCTTTGAGTTGATTTTCTCAGTGATTGCAGCGTTTCCTTTAAAACTTTGAAATGAAAGGCGATGATTTTCTGTGTGGTGTTTCTATTTGTGTTTATAAATCGCTTTATGCATTGTCTCCTTAATCATTGTTAACTAGCTAATGCATTTTGAGAGATTTAATTTTATTGGTAATATACACGTGTATTGTTACGTTTGATGTATGTTGAAAATAATTCTTTGTCAAAGTGCCATATTCAGAAGAGACAATAGCGTTTAAAATAATAAATGCTTTAACACACTGTGACTTCATGTAAATCGCTAACAGAAGTAAAGGACCCGTGTTAGTAGGGTTTCAAAGGTTTGATAACTAACGCGTTTGCTTAATTTTTGCTTAAAATGTTTAACTTAAAGTTTAACAATTACAAACCTTTGTTAACCTTGCCCCTTTTACCTGTGCTGTCTAAGGTATTACTAGACGGGTATTGTCTATTTGATTGCTCGCAAACTAATGATTGCTTCTAATGAATTTCAGCAAACGCATATGTTGCTTGATTACGAGACAAATACTTTAATGAGTGACGTGTTTCTTAAAATTAAGATAAAAACATGTATTTTTATTTGTAATCTTTTATTTCAAAAACTGTGTTTGTAAGCATTATTGATACATGTAATTTGACTATAGTAAATTTGCCATTATATGGTGCATAACATCTAAAGTCATCAAACGTTTGTATTTTATAAAATTGATAAACTTCTTTACTAAGAAGTAAATACAAAATTTAAACTGTGAATATGATAGAATAACCCCTTTCTGAGCATATTCACGGGTTAAATTTATTATTTACTTCTTGGCAAAGAAGTTTACACATTTTGTAAAATACAACGTTTGATGACTTTAGATGTTATGCACCATAAAGATCCAAATTTTCAGAAATTTGAAAATACTAACTATTCAAAACAATCAACCTTGATATAATTCTATCTCAAATAAACTAATGATGATACTGATTAGAGATGGCGCAGCAAGTACGTGACGCTTAATTATCACCTGTTGCAACACGTTGCAACTCCAAAATTTATAAGCTGCAACCAGTTGCAACTAAGTGATGCTTTATTTGTCATCACGCTGCAACAGTTGCCGCGCCATACCGATGCCCAATATACACTATTTTCCCTCTATCAGCAGGCACCCACAATTGATGTAATCGTAGAGCATAGCCGGAGAATGTCGAGCCATAAGTTCCAAAGAATTTACTGCCACGTGCAGAAACCATCAGATCTACTAGTGGTAAAAAGTATTTATATAAAGTTGAATTGTCCCTTATGTTTTTTGCCTTCTTCAATAATTCTAATTCAGTTGAGAAATCATTGATTGTGAATGTACAAGGAAATGTTGTAAATATTGGTTGAATTGCAGGATCGTTTGGTTTTACATCGGTAGCAAGAAATATTGTTTTATTGAAAAGAGATTGAGTGTTGCTTGTTTTTGCGCATTTGTTACTTTTACTGATATCATCATCATCGTCATTTTTAGTAATATTGATGTTCTTTTGATTAATATTTTCCTCGTTTTTAATCGCTTCGATCATGTGTTGAACTGTTTCCGCTTTATAAATTTTGTATCCGGAATTTCCGGCGCGTAAATGTGATCCAATGTATTTTTCAGATCCACCCAATTTGCGTGTGATTTCTTTAACCACATTTATTAAGATCGGATGCCCAAACACTAAATTTTTCTGAATCACCTCTCTGAATACTTGATTTTCGTGGAGACTTATTTGTATTCTACTAGTACTATAGATGCTGAGAAAATGTATTAATTTCTCTCTACGATTTAGTAAGCTACAAATATGCAATTGTCTTTTAAATTTCGTAAAACGTGCTTTCAGCTTTATCGCGTCTCCTTGATCATATAGCAGATTATCATATCTTGATTTTTCTCTCGGGTAATATATCTCCTTCTCGGGATCCGTGATATTGATCAATTTATATAGACCTTGCGGGTTGAAATCTTGTTGATTTATTATCCGAACGTGATTTCGAATGGAACTCAGATCCATCAATTCGTCCCACGGGAATAGTGTGTAGGAATGATATTCTTGCATGCACTTTTGATGTCGTTTCGAACTCTTGAAAGAGTAACAATCGTCGAGATTTTTGGTGGCATTTAATTTTGCAAGACGAATGGCAAGGTTTGGACTTTGTGACCAGCCGATTTCATATCCGAATATAATTGGTGGCATAATTAATGTGCGATTTGTATACCATGCTAGAAAAATCGCGTTCTCTAAAGAAATGCGTTGATTATGTAGTCCACTGTGGGGAAGATAGGTGATAAATTTTTCGCTATTGTCATTAGCATTGATGTCTAATAAATGATCGCATTTACGATTAGGTATGAATCGTTGGTCATTCATAATTGTTGTTACATTGTACATGTACTCGTCTTTTGAAGAAAGCGATAAATATGTTTTTATTATGTTATAAACAAGCAATATCGATATGATAACTAAAAGAAATGCATGTTTAATTAATCTTCTCGACATTTGCAAGCGTTTAGAATATGAATAGTTATCGTTATATTTGCAAAGGTCTGGATGATTATTGTTATAAATGATATTCTGTTAACGTTAAGAAAATAAAATTCTCATTCTACGGTTTAAATATACATGTACATGTACATGTATCTTGCACTTCACGTGCATTTCATTACTAATTGACGGAAACTACATATTGACAGGTTGTATTTGTTATAAGAATAGACCAATTCAAATAGAAACCATTTCAAGTCAATAACGATAGTATGACAATAACAACTACATGTACATGTATCGGTATTTATTTAAGACTCTAATTTGGTATTTTCTCCGACGATGTATGATTTTGGGTTAACGTGAATGAAACCTTTTCAACTATCGTGTATTTACACAAGTGTTGCACCAAAAAATCTTGGTAAAAATTGATGATATGCCTTTGTCGCACCCAGTATCGATATTTGCTTCTATGAATTTTACAACGGAAATGATCAAACACATGTATGGTGCATAACATCTAAATTTATCAAACGTTTGTATTTTACAAAATGTATAAACTTCTTTCTCAAGAAATTCAACCCGTGAATATGCTCAGAAAGGGGCTATTCTATCATATTCACGGTTTAAATTTTGTATTTACTTCTTGGCAAAGAAGTTTATCCATTTTATAAAATACAAACGTTTGATGACTTTAGATGTTATGCACCATAGTATTTTAAACAATAAACTACCTGACCTCGCGAAACATTAATATTGAGGTTTACTTTCTTTTGTGAAGAACTCCTAATAAAATTTAATAATAAAACCATTATAACATATGAATACAGTATTCTCAATTTTAGCCATTATAACAATAGTGTAAATTCCATAAAAAACCAATAATTTAATCCAATAGAATGATAGAATGGCCTTTCTTGATTATTCTATGGTGCATAACATCTAAAGTCATCAAACGTTTGTATTTTATAAAATGGATAAGCTTCTTTACTAAGAAGTAAATACAAAATTTAAACCGTGAATATGATAGAATAGCCCCTTTCTGAGCATATTCACGGGTTGAATTTCTTGAGAAAGAAGTTTATACATTTTGTAAAATACAAACGTTTGATGACTTTAGATGTTATGCACCATATAATGATATTCGTGATTACATGGGATTTCCGTTTGTTCGCATGTGTAAATTAACCAATTGCATTTGTTTACTAAAAATATGAGCATTACAATTAGAAGTCTGAAAAATTATATAATGATAATTGGAAAATCGATAAAACATAGCTCCAGATTTAAAACGGTTTCCGTTTTCTAGTAATATTGTGCGAGCAGTCTAAAGCCATCCAATAACTTTAAAATATAAAGGATTTTTATTTAAATAATTAATCATAAAAAAATAGATTATCAAATAGTCTTTGATATGTTCTATAATGTAACGCGTTTTTTTTGTCTATTTTCTTATAAAAATCATTTGTAGTTAGATTTTTTAATAATAATAGAAAAATTTTCAGCATCTGAAATATCACATGTCATGTAAAATTACATGATTATTTTTCATATAAAATTCTAATTAGTATTGCACATAATAACTTATTTGAAAATTATAATTCTTCTTAGCATTGCATATAATAACCTATTTGAAAATGATAATCCTTCAAAGAATTCAGCAGTAATACAGTATTTGATATAACTAAGCCATTTGCACTATATAATAACAGAAATTTATAATCATTAATTACATGATAAAATAAGATATTGTTATTATTTTTAACAAAAATTTTATAATTCCTTAATTTTTAAATTATTATAATTCAATCCAATAATAATTATATTAATTTCTCTTTTATTTTCATTTTGTATATCATTATATAACTATATTTAGTATAAATTTTGTAAATAGTATTTTCTTTTTGATCAAAAATTAAAATAATCATCAATAAATCATATTCTTGTATACTTTTCACTTTATTTTTACTTGTATTTTTCACTCAAAAATTAATAATTTTGTTATTGATATATTTTATATTTTATTACCAACAAAAATATTCTTAATTTATTTTTATTATATTTATTCAATTATATTCATATTTATTTTATTTCTTATTTTTACTTTTATTTTTATTTTTATTTTTATTATTAATTTTCTTATAATTAATCTTGTAGTATTAATTTTCTTTCTTTAGAATCTTTTTTATTGTAATTTTATAATTATTTTATTTTTAATTACTAATAATATCTATATAAATTTTCTTTTATATTTTTATTTTTATTATTATATAAAATATTTTATTTATTTTTCAGTCTTTATTTTTCTTTAATATTGTTTAGTATTATTTGTAAATAGTAATATAATTTAAAATAATTATTAGTTATATAAATTGCAAAAATTATTGAAATATATAAAAAAATCTCTTATTACTAGAATTTCTTATACTCTAATCTAATAAAAATAACAAAGTTCTTATTAGTATTTTTATAAACTGAACTGAACTGGAATTTTGCTCTGATTAAGTTTGGTTCAAAATTCAAACTGAACTCGAACCAGACTTTGGCTTGAGTTCAAGAAAGGTTCAAAGTTCAAACTAAACTCGAACCAAACTGTTATATAAGTTCAAGTCTGGTTCGAGTTCAGTTAAAGATCAGTATATAGTATCATATACTGATTTGTAGCTCTAAATATAAGCTACAAGCACAATTTATGGTATTTAATAAGAATTAGAAGTTTACATAATGATGACTAAAATATTTTTATTTTTATATTCATTAAATTTGATCGTAAATGCTATATAACTCTTCAAATAATTATTATTAATAATAACTATCTTATATCAATTTGTAGCTCTTATTTTTGGCTACAACTTTACTTATAATTATAGTTTATGATTACTATAGCAAAATAAATATTTATTATACTAAAACTAAAGCAAATAAAAATTGTAATAATTAAAATTATTTTTAAATTTATATAACTTCTTAAATATTCATCCTAAATATTAACTATCTTATATTAATTTGTAGCTCATATTATGATCTACAATATTATATAGAATATTAACAAACATTTACTTGAACTTGAACTGAACTTTTTGTCAAGTTTGAATCTAATTCAAAATTCAAACTGAACTCAAACCAGATTTTTAATTAGATTCAAATTTTTGAACCAAACTTTTGGTTAGGTTCGAGTCCAGTTCAAGCTCGAACCAAACCAAACTCGAACTGAACCAGACTTTTTTTCTGAACTCTAGTTCTTACTTGTAAATACATTATTATTTTTGTAATTATCTTCAAATTTTAATTATAAATAGTAAATATTTTTTCACTTTAAATAAGTCATTAACTTTATTATTTTATTTATTTTAGTTTTATTATTTTTAGATTATATTAATAAGTTCTATTTATTTTATTTAATATACTAATATAGTTATTTTCTTTATTTATAATTTTAATAAATTCAATTAATTTTTTTATTTTATTAGACAGCTTCAATAAATTTTATTATTTTCTTTAATAATTATATTAGTTTTATTTTAGTTTGTTATTTTTTATTACTTTTTCTCTTTTTCTTATCTTTATTTTATTTTTTAATTAAGTTAGTTTATATATAAGCTATAATAAAAGATTTTTAAAATTTTAATGAATTTTATTAATTATAAATTATTTAGTTTTTGTTTATTTACTGATTATTTTTTGTTAATTTATTAGTTTTAATAATTCTTAAATTAAAAAAAATAATATTTTTAAATTACTAAAATTTTTTAAAAAACTAAATAATTTTATAAAATACATCTTGAATTATAAAGATATTAATTTTTTGAAATTAATTTTATATTAAATAAAATAAGATTTTAAGCTTCCTATTTTTTTATTATATAATTAATAATTATAAATTTATAATATAATAATAATAAAAATAAAAAATTTATATTTATAGAAAGCAATTACTAACTAAAATAGTAAAACAATATTTTGTCATTGTAAGAGAATTACTTTGCCATATTGATCCAAATAATGGATATCCAGAATATCTAAAAGTAATAATATTTATTGAAGGATTAAAACCAAAAATAAAATTCTTTGTTAATCCAACTTGATCAACTACTCTAGATAATACTATTCATACTGCTTAACTATATAAATCAAGCTATTAATAATTTACTAGTTTAAATATTATTACTATAATACTAATAACAAATCTATTGAATATCTCAGTAATTCAACAGTTAATAGAAAATAGCTTAAACAAATTTTCTCAATAACTTGCAGCTTTTGTAACAAAATTAGAAAATCTGATAATTTCAAATAACTAAAATTAAAATTATTAAGATAACAGATATAATAATAATAATAATAATAATAATAATAATAATAATAATAATAATAATAATAATAATAATAGGTGGCTAGTCGTACCTTATATTTTAAATGCAATATGGGTAATTCATGTAGTATCGCATATCTTACAATTAACTGTAATTTAGATAGTAGTACACATAGAATAAGATTACACTAAAGCAATAATAAATAATAATAATAATAATAATAATAATAATAAAAATTATTCAAATAATCAATGAAGGAATAATTATAACAATAATTATAATAACAATAATAATAATAATAATTTATCAATCAGAAACTCTACCTACTAATCATTTTTTCAAAAAATTTGATAAAAGTGTAGAGCAGATATATTTTACAAAAAACCATATAATACACTAAATAATCAATTTTCTTTATTAACAAAATCTTTTTCTTTATTATTTCTTTATATATATTACTATAGATTTTACTTTAATTTTCTTTTTACTTTTTTCTTTTCTTATAAAAAATATATAAAAACACAAAAACACAAATAATACTCATAAAAATATCAAAATTCTTTCTAATCTTTT